AGGTCCCTGTGCTTTGGTAAGCTTGTTCTAAGTAGGTGCTTTAGACCACTGAGCCATCTCACCAGCCCCAAAATTTTACGTTTTTTTTTTTAAATTTTGCGGTACGGGGAATTGAACTGAGGCCCTTGCGCTTGCCAGGCAAGTGCTTATTCTACTGAGCTATCTCCCCGGCCCTGCACCAATGTACTTCTGAAGTACAGTTCACTCGTATCTCCCTAGGAATGCCAGCACTTAAATGGGATTGTGTTCATGCCACAATTTCATGTCTTCTATTGCCCAAATTAGCCTCACATCATTGTTTCAAAGTGTTCTTTCCTGATTTGTAGATAAAAAGTATGACAGAGAAATAATCACAATTATTGGTGTCCCCCCCCCCCCCCTTTTTTGCAACCAGGGTCTTGCTGTGAAGTTCGGCCTTGAGCTCTTTGTTTTGCAGACTGGTCTCAAACTCGCACCAATCCTCCTGCTTCAGTCTCCCAAGTGCTGGATTACAGGCATGGGCCAACAGCCCCAGCCAATGATTATTGTTGATCAGTCATGCTTACTACATTTTGTAAGGTTCACTGTTTTAAGGAGATTCTGCCCTACTGCATGCTGCGAGAGCTTTGAATTAGCGACGGTGCTTCTCTGGGTTCATCTGTTTACCATCTGTGAGCCTTTTGGTATCACTTTCTTTCCCTCACTTCCCTATACACTAAAATGACTGTGATACTTTCCCAGAACATTGTAAGGCGTATCACGTATGCTGGGACCACAATACATTTTCAGCAAACATTTGTTCTTTTCTTCTCAACTCCTATTTTATTTTTGGTACAGGGAATCAAACTCAAGACCTTGTGCTTGCTAGGCACTGAGCTATATCCCTGGCCCACATCTCGTTTTATTTATTTAGATAGAGGGTTTTGCTATGCAGTTTGGGCTGGCCCTGTGCTCACTTTTGTAGCCCTCTAGGCTGATCTGGAACTCACAGTGATCCACCTATCTCAGCTTCATGAGTGCTGGGATTACAGGTTTGCACCACCACTCCTGTTTCTGGGACTGGCATGTCATGCGGTACCGGGGGTGGAACCTGGGACCTTGTGCTTGCCAAGTAGGCTCTTATGCTGCTGAGCTATCTGCCCAACCACCATCTCTTTAAATATCAAATTTTCTCACATTTCTAACCTCAGAGGTTGACACTTAATTTATTTATTGAAGAATATGTGTCAATAAGAAGATCAGAATTTCATTGACATTGCTTTCACCTTTAACTTTTTCCCCAGGTTTAAAATAAGGGCTGGCCAAATAGCTTATCAGATTAAAGCACTTGCAAGCAGGCACAGGGGCTGGGTCTTCCATCCCCAAGCCTGCCATGCCAGCCCTGCCTCCAGGGCATGCTGAGAGGGCAGTTGAAACTGGGCGTGGTGGTACAGGGGGATTATTAAGCCTGTAATCCCAGCTCTTGGTCTGGAGACTGTAAACAGGCAGATCACTGTGAGTCTGATCTCGTAGTGAGACCCTGAACACCCTGTAGACCCTTCCCTAAAAAATACAAAAGGAAAAAAAAAAAGAAACATAAAATAACTGGACATAGTTTTTCCACATTAACAGCCACAGGTTTCTTTAGTGAAGTGGTTATTTTTCATCATTTGGGATACCTGTGAATAGGTTATTTCTGTCTAAATGTATCAGAGAAGGTTACCCAAATAAAGTAGAAATATTCAAGATAATTAAGAAACCATTGTGTTTAATGACTGATTTCCTCTTCTAAATCCAGTTTTTAAACACTTACTGGATGCATTAATATTTATTTCATTAATTGTGTAAATTTATTTTGCTTATCAGTTTTTGTCATGACATTGTGCCAGTCAGTAGGAGGGGTATGGCAGTGAATAGTACAGCTCTGGGACCTCGACCTGGCATAAAGCGTCGGTCAGGTCCAGAGTATGTATATGGTAAGGAATTCGCTGTCTGTTCCATGTTTCCTGTAGAAGGACTATACTTTTCAGATTCTCATTTGGGTGCGCTTCTACATATTACCAGAAGCCAAGAAGACTTGTGATATGGCATTTCAGTTAGCTTCAACTCACTAGTTAACTATTGTTGAGAGAAATTATGAGCTACCTTGGCTCTCATTTTGTGAAGGTTAAATATTAAAATCTGTGTGTTATTTTTGATTCCTCAAAAAGGTCTGGGTTAGGGATGTTGCTGTGCCGAACATTCTTTATTGTGTTGAGGCCCTGTGTTTGTTCCTAGCACAACGTCCAAAAGATAGCACTCACTTGTCATTTCTTACTCAGAATAATTCATGATCCCCCTGAGAACATACTTGATACACAGTATTTAAATTCATATGCCATAGTCTACGAGACATGTTAGCATAGGAAACCCAAAGGAGATGATTGAATGGGAGGAAATCCTTCTTCCAGCAGCAGTTTAGGAATTCATAGCTTTATTAAGTGTGTAATCAGCAGATGTCCATTATAATTACACAGAATGATAAAATTGCCTTTAATAAGAAATCTTTCAGAAACTTGATGAGAAAAGGTTGACTCCCAAAAAAGGAACTGACAGATAAAGGTACAGCAAAAAAACCAGAAAAGGGCAACAAAGAAAAGAAAGAAGAAAGAAAGAGCAAATAAAGCATATAGAAGAACTTCAGCTTTTCATTTAGGTTACATGTAGATATTTGTCTTAACTTATTGAATACTGTGTTGCATGTCTTTTTTTTTTTTTTTTTTCCTGGTACTAGGAATCAAACCTTGCCAGGCAGGTGCTTATACTGCTGAGCTATATGCCAGGCTGAATACTAGTTTATTTTTTTTATTTTTTATTTTTTTTTTAAAGTATAACATTCAATTTATTATTTCTTTCTCAAGAGAATTTTCTTCAGTCCATTAAGACTCAGCTCCCCTCACATGGGCTTTGGTGGAGGTCGTGGGGCAGCACCAGCAGGTCTAAATCGGGGTGGAGGAGTTCGGTCCTTACGGGCTTCACGAGATGAATTTCTGACCACTTTGCTGTGAATGGCAGAACTCACACAATAATGCAGCTTCACATACAGCTTGGGAAGCACATAGCTGTTGAAGACACTCGCTTCGGAAATGTCCCTGATGGCGGCGGCCTCCACTATGTTCCGAGTGACAAACTTCTTAATAGCCTTATCCTTGGGTACGCACCGGGCGCAGTTCGTGCAGCGAATAGGCTGCACATGACTGCGGCCCTTTTTGGCACGACCGTTGTTCCTTCTTTTTTTCGTCATCTTGGAAAGGAGGACCCGAAAAACCTGAATACTAGATTATTAGTGAAGTAAAAAGCATGCTTTTTTTTTTTTTTTTTTTTGCTTAAAAGTATTTTTAAAATATAATACCATTATTTTCTTAGAGATCAGCTGATATTGGAAGCATGTTTCTTCCTAATTCTATTCCATTATTTTATAAGAAAAACTGAATAGTCTTTTGAATTTGGGTGGGTTTTTTCCTTATGTTTTAGAATTCTGTCTTTCTGGTACTAGGGATTG